TGCAAAAGTGTGTACTTTTACTGACTTCTTACAAACAATATTTTATATTTTTATATCAAAAAATAATTGTAACACAATAAAATATGTAGCTCTGCTTGTAATGAGCATTATTTCCATGCACTTGCGTTGCATTTCTACAAAGAAAGTTTAACAACACACAAAGAGACAAAATATTGTAATCATATTACTTTAAATTTTGTGGTCACCTAAAAGGGTCAAGGTCTCCCTGGATGAACTTGAGCCAAGCCATGTCACAGAAGCCTCGCTTGTTGAACTCCCCCCGGAAGACAAAATTCGGGTTTCGGTACTGACAGTCTCTCACTCCTTACCGTAAGAGGTTTACAACCTTCATTTTCATGTATTTTTTGTTATTAATTTATTTGGTTTTTTTAATTATCATTTATTTATCGTGTTTAAAAGAGGAAGTGCCTATCAGCGACTCACACGCTCTAGGCTATAGCTGCGAGCGGTGTCTCAAATACTTTTGAGGGAAAGTTTCCAGTGAAGGCATTCGCCCGTCGCACTGCTGGGCCGGAAATGTTGCAGGTTGTCGAAACGAAAGTCAGCAGTTCGCTACATGCAGCGGAAGTGGGACTGGTTTTGTTATTTCCTTTGTTGCTGATCCGGCGGGGAACAGTTTCAGTCTTGTCCTTGTTCTCAGACACTATTTATAGCAGAACTTGCGCGTGACGTGTTTTGGTGACTTGAAACTCTATTACCACTTATTGACATTTCGAAATCTTTTGCAGATATAGGATTTCTAGGATTTTGAAGAATTATCATATCATAATTTTTTTCTAACAATAATATTTCTCATAAGATAACATTTCATGGGCTACTAGTGTTCTTCGGAAGAATGTTACGAAAAGAGGAATAACAATAACACATAATTGGTTTTCCTTAGACTTAGATTCAGAGTTTTGAATGAGTTACACATTTGCAAACTCTGAACTACAGTCTATAGAAAATGCTTGATCATCAATCCTGTCGGTTTACAGTTAGTCTTGTACGTCAAGAATAAAGCATCGTTCGTTGCTGGTTCGGGAAATGAGAAGGACCAGGACGACGCATACGAACAAGCCAAAGAAACGGTGCGAACGACTGAAGGGTGAAGAGGGAGGGAGTCAGTCATTGACACGTGATGTATCAAAGAAGGATTTGGACTAAAAAGAAATAATATTCAAGAGAATGTGTAAATAACACATTGAAACCTTTCAATCTCTTGCTTAAACTATGCTTTGAATGTCAAATTTGCATTAACAACAATCCAATAAGTTGGGCTACGAATCATTTGAGGTAATCGTATTTCTTAACGACGGCTCTTGATTCGGTATAATCTTAAAGATTTTATTCCAAGGAAGCGTGATTGTATCGTTTGACTTATTATATTACTAACGGACAAAAAAATACAACCAAAACGTTGGTATTAAAAAAGGAGCAATGTGCGTTTTTGAAAGGGATATAAATTCGTTTCAATGAGATCATGAGATTTTACAGACTTTGATTAAATTTCGAAATCAACACACAATGTAATATGATCACTAATGCTAATCTCCCCTTTGCTGTTATTTTACGATCTCGGTGCTGAGTACAACATATTTTTCTTTGTATTTTTCCATTCCCGTGATGTCCATTAGAAAACGGTAATATGTACTGTATCGTATAGTATTTAAAACACGTTTACATTAACCACGTGTCAGGTGAATGTGTTCTACATTATTACGTATATTTTCTCTGGTTATTCACTTCATGTATCAAACGGGAATTATCACTGACCAATTGACATACATCAGAACACTTCATTTCTACACTGTTTGGAAAACTGTCCAGTAGAGACATCGTTTCTCAGATTCTCTTTTTACCCTTCAGCCAAGCAGTTCATTAACGAGCCACTTGACTCTATCGCTACCGGATCAACGCCGTCTCGCAGTGAGAGGCTGCGCTGATGTAAGAACACGGGGCTCCGAGGGGGAGGCGAGACTCGGCCACGAGGCCAGCGCCCTTCCTTTGAAAGCGGCGGGGGCGTGGAACCAACTGACCCACGAGAGCCAGTCCCCCTATACACCGCAGTGTTTATCAAACATTGCTTCGTGACCGAGCGCTTGAAAACCTGTGGCACTCGCACTGGCCACCTGCTGAAATGCGAATCCACATATGCCGAAAAAATGTTGTTTCCTCTGCCACTTGTATTTGTTGTTTATGCACGAGACAACGTACTATTTGGTGTAGCACTTGGGTGCTTTGCTCGTTGGTAAACATTGTGGACAGGCCCAGGTTTAGGGTGGATTTTAACGGATTTGGAACCATGCTGCCGGTCACACTTCGAGAAACGCTTATTTACTCGCCTTTTCAGATGCCGTGAAACACTTTTTTAAGCGTGAGTTTCAGAGGGTTTGCGCCAAGGCATGTGGGTTCGCCTTGCCTGTACTGTAAGAGAACCTGAGCCTCAATTACTGCAGGTAACAGGCAAGGAAATCCAAAACCTTAGGGAAGCGAAGGCAGGCGGCCTTCCACGCACGCTGTGAAACACTGTCCCGTGAGTGTGTGCGTCGGGTTTGCTGGGCGCGCCGGCTCACGTCAGCGCCCCTCGGTCGGCGTCGCCGCCGCCGGTGCTCACCTTGCGGACGCCGACGCCTCCTGCTGCTCGTTCCTCCGGCGACGTCGCTCTTGCTGCAGGGGGAAGACGGTGGTCGCAAGACCCGCGGACGCACTACACTCGAGCACCACCCACACGTCACACTCGCGCTTCGACCTCCTCCTCCCTCTCACGCACGCCTCGCTCGCGAACACGCCCGCGCCGGCCGCTCCTCTCTCTCTCGCTCTCGGTCCCCGCTCGCGGCGCGCTTGGTCGCCACTGGCGCGGCGGTGGAGGCGGCGCGGCGTCCTCGCGCCCACGCTGCGCCCTGGCGGCGGGACGCGCAACCTGCCTGGGCACGCGGCCGCTGCCGCCATCGCCGGAGGGAAGAGGTCGTGAAGAGGAGGAAGCAGCGGAGGTGGTTGGCGGCGGCGCAGCAGGTGTTTAGGGTCCCGGCGCGGGCAACCCTACGTTTGGGAACGTCTCCGCTGGTGTACCTCAAGGGTCCATTTTGAGGCGCTGCGATGACAGCAGTAAAGAAACAAAATCAAACTGAATGGATTAAATTTTTTACGATGCAGAATAGACGTCGGCAATGCATACTGTTCTCCTCTCAAGCTCGCGGCTCCACACACGCGGCATTCGGCGAATCTCGAGGAACCTCTCGCCGAATCCCGAGTAGTGTGGACGGGGTGCTTGCGATTCGCCGAGCGCCGAACATTCGGTATTCGCCCTACCCACCGCGTTTCGGTCTTTAGGACATATCAAAGAGATCGAACATTCGTCGAGCACATTGCTGCTCGAGATTGGATGAACTGTCGCTCGTGACTTGGCGAATACCGAATGGGTGGAGCCGCCTTCGTGTGTAACAAGAGGAGGAACCCGCCAAAAGTGACATTGAGCCTTTAGTGAAGTGTAGATGATGGCTTTCGTGGTCGAAGTCACTGGAGCGTTGGCTGTGACTTGGATTTCCTATAAATAATACCCCTCTGGTAGTCGAGTGCTTCCTAGGGTCTTAGAAGTCGTATCCGCTGCCAAAACGACTCCTTCACCACCTCCTACTCCTCGACTTGTTCTTTGGTGATTCCTTTCTCCAAAATTAAGACATTGAGACATTGTCCGAAACTAAATGTATGATACAATATTTAATGAAAATCTGTAACAAATTATCGGCAGTGTACAGGCATAGTTTCAAGCTATAGAGCCAGTACGAATCAAAAATACAAAATTGTAGGTCTAATAGCAAACTTCTCAACCGGCAAAATGCTAAACAGGTTTATCATAAAATGGAGGTTAATTGTCGTTATAACACATGGCTAAAAAGGTGTGATACCGTGTTAGTGTTAAGTGTAAAAGAATAGAAAGTTCTTCTTTTGGGAAGGCTAGATCATAATGCGAAATTGTAGTGTTCTTTTCCATACCGTCTTGTCCTTAGAGCTGTTGTCCTAAAACATTCTATCTCTTTTTGCCTTATTAATGGGGGAAGTCGTCACTAAGATAATAAACATAGATAAAATACCCCTTATATACACACCTACCGAGCATATCAGAAAAGTACACTCGAACTTTTGTGAAAGTCAAGTGAACAAATTGCTGTTTATTCCAGAAAATCTGAAGACGGTAATTTTCATATTGGAAATGAATGTAAAATACCTGAAAATAGTAATTTTCAAAATGAAAATATTTTTGGCAATAGCCATATCAAGCTATTACGTTTTGTTCTCTCTTTTGGTGGGATTTGCAATTCACTGACTTAAATTAAACTTTTGAGAGAATTGTGGATTTTACGTCACAGTTACTTTCTGTAGTAGAGAAAAATAAAACAAAAAAAAAACTCAGAACAACAGACTTGAGTTTTTTATCACAAGCTGGGAGCTTGTGGTAAGCGCTTGTCTGCTTTCACTTGCTCTTGAGCCTTTATTTTACGGTGACGTATTACTCTATTCATTTCCGCTTAATCTTTTTCTCATCTTGCTCTCCATTCCCCTCGCCTGTTCTTGCCTTTATGTTTTCCTTCAGTGCGGGACAGCTGTCCCTTGTAACTTGTGAGATATCCTGACGTAATCGCAACCCAGCTACCCAAATGATACGCCGCGCATATATGTGGACATGTCCCGTCGTAAATTTGTACACTGTGTGTGTTTTATGCGGTAATCTGCTAAAATAGACATTAAAAGTGCGAAGTATTAAGTCAGATATTGCATGAGAAATTCCGATACACGCGGGTCTTGAATGAGGACTATAAGGCTTCAGTTTCAGTGTTATGGAGAAGGAATTACATGAAACTCGTACTTGGAACATGATCTAGGTGCTGATGATTCATATAAGTTTAAGGTAAATGCACCCGTCGCTCATGTATTCTTACAGTTACCATTTTTGGTAGATTTTACACCCTTTAATAAAAAAGTCTCATAACACCATCCCCTTGAAGATTTTTCTTTATGAGACCAACATTCCACGTCTTCCTGCTTTCCGCAACAAAATGTAGGTTGGCATTTGCTCGAGAGATACCATCGATTCTTCGTAGCAGGTGAGGGAACGCCAACACCCGCAAAAGATAAAAATTGCTTTCAGACGTCATTTAAAGATCTGCTTCTATGATTGGGAAGTGGCAAGCACGTAGAAGTAATTTTGATTGTATCTTTGTGCAATCCTATGGGTACAATGCTTCGAGAACTTTTCGAGATATTCAGAGTTTCGATTATGGCCTAAATGGCTTAAGAAATATATCGTTAACAGAAGAATGCGTCTTTAAGTACCCCTGTAATCTCGTTACTCAGAATGAATCTAAATTTATTTGATTACAAAATATAAAGTTATTGCTGCAGTCAAAACTGTTGAAGTGGTTAATTAACATAAGTGCAATTATATTTTCAAACAGATGATTAATTCTCATTTCTAAAAGATATTTATTTACGTAACAGAAGTAATATTCACTCGATGGCAGTTGCTAAACTGATGGAATTTATGTTAATGAGCCCGTATTAATTATTAGCTCATAGTTTTATCTTATAAGCTATTCATTTTACACTGAAGTTGTTAATATAAAGAAAGTAATTCTGATAATTTTGAAATGAATGTTCGTTTAATTTCATTTCCTTAGTGCAATACATCAGCGATTCTTTTCGATGCAGTATTCTTTCGGATTTGCTGTCAACAAGAAATGGCAAGAAAATGATGAAACTCAAAAATAACATTGTTTTAGGAAAAATTAATTTCTTGTTTCGGATGCATTTTTTAAGAAGCTGTACATTTAGTGATTCGAATAAAATCTCTAATCCAAAACTCATGTTTGCAAAAACATCAAAATCAAAACCTTGGTAGTAATTTAAAAGTGATTTTAATAATTATTTTCATGTACTTTTGTGATTCTTCGTTTTTATAATAAAGCTTTAATTTCAAAGTAATTTATGGGTGTAAGTATAAAAATACGTTAATTTAAAAACATAGAGGATGTATAAATACGCAAAAGTAACGAACATATATCCCCAGTGCAAATAGGTAGGAAATCAACGCCCAAATTTCGGGGACAATTATTCACTTCTTCATACCCCTTATATTGTCCCCATTCCCGTCGCTTTCTTGGACGCAATTACGCTCGGAGAATATATTCCGCAGTCGTAAAGAAATTCAAATTGTGATCATGCTACTGAGTAACATCGCATCTTAGAAAATGTACATTATTACAAAATAATCATACGTCTTAGTTCACTACATTAAAAATGATTAAATTCGCCCCAATGTAACACTTCCTCCTTCTTGTACTCACGTTCTCGATACTGGCGCCCCTTGACGTTCTGCCTTGACGCGAAAGCAAGGAATGTTAGGAGCAGCACGTAAACGTCGAGTTCCGCTACGCGCGCGCAATTTCCCGAAACGCGTTCCCACAGCCAGATGACCACAATTACAATACAGTCGTTTCCTGGGAGAATAGACAGTCCCAAATATTTTGTAATTAGAAATTGTTTCTTACGCAGTACATGAAGAAAGTTGATATGCAATTTTCTTTGGTATAAATGTATTTAGAACAACCGGACAAAACATGAAATATCAAAATATGATCGTTTATATAATGTTATATATATATATATATATTTGTGTGTGTGTGTAAGTATACATGTATATATACATAATGTAAAAAAATAATGCTAAAATGTGCATCCGGAGAAGTCTAAATTATCGAAGTCATTCAACATGAGACATATTTTGTATTTGCCCAGACTTATAGAAAACAACGAACAAGAAAAAAATTCAAGTGGAAACGTTTTAACTTCTGAAATAAAATAATGAATTAAAATAAACATCTTATTTCAATTCACCTTGAACATTTAGAAAAAAATAAGTTGTAAAACTGAGAAAGTTCAGGAATTAGATAGACCTAAACGATTCTGAAGGCGGTTTGGAAAGGACAAATGCATGCTAGTTTGGGAAATAGGAATCTGGCAAATATTGATTTTTCTGTTAGTCGTTTCCATCAGATTCTCTTCGTGAGAACGTGTTAATAGGCACAGTTCTTGTCAGTTCGATGGGCAATAGGTGGTGAGCGATGAATGAACAATGAAGTCCGGGGGTGGATTTAGCAGACTGCACATTTGCGAGTGATTGTTAAGATCTCCACTGGACAGGGCCCTTAATAATATTTTACATGTCACAGGTTAGGGTTTATTTTCATTTTCATTTTCATTTTAATTACATATGTTCAATATTTTATATTATTACGATGCCCCGAAGTTTAATCATGTTTTGGCCAACTCCAGCCTTGACAATCAACAAAGGAGAACGGGCGAACGGCGAACGATGAGTAAAGAATCGTGATCAATAAAAAATTATGTCGGAAGACCAATCGAGAGCTTATGAGCGTATCCTGGCTGGGGCGGTACACCGCTGGTGGGAGATACCTGATTGGGGAAACTCCACGCAAGCCGACCGGTACCGGATCTCGCTACCCAGGGGAAAATCACCGCCACCTTCCGAGATGAAAACATGCCACTATACTTAGGAGACTAATGACTTTAGTGGTTGACGCGCCTAGAATTACTGGTCGATCAATCAACGAACAATGAAAGATAGAGGAACGATAATAAACGACCAACGATGGTCAATTTCTGATCGATAATGGATGAAGGGTAATAAAAAATGAACAATGAGCGGTCGACGAGCGAAGAGTGGGCAATGAAGACTGAGAGAAGCGATAGTGAGGGGCGATAGAGGCGAAGAGTGTCAGACGATAAATGAGGATTTGCGGCTTCGGTGGTATGGCGGTTAGCATGTTGGACTGTTGTACCCAACTTCGCGGGTTCAAATCCATTGTGGAATTTTAAATGCGAAAAATATCCTTCGTGCTTTTTTCGGAGGGGAAATAAAGCTAGCTGTCCCA